GTCAGGGCGGAGCTTAGAGCAGGCCCATGTCAGGGCTGAGCTTAGAGCAGGCCCATGTCAGGGCGGAGCTTAGAGCAGGCCCATGTCAGGGCTGAGCTTAGAGCAGGCCCATGTCAGGGCGGAGCTTAGAGCAGGCCCATGAAAGGATTCCGTCTCTCTGCGACGACCACTTAGCGCTCCAGTGGATTTTAGCAACTTTGGTCCCCTGGTGTCCACTCTGACCCAGGTGGGCGGTTCCCTGAGGACCCCGGCCGACACCCCCACCCCCCACGTTTGGGGTTGCCGTCAGCTCCCCCTGCAGTTCACACCTTAAAGTGCTTTGGAGATTGCGACACGCTGCCAATTAACAGCTCCGACCTGGGTAGGTGAGGGGGGCCTGGGAGGAATTGGGGGGGGGCGTGCATTCACACCGGGGCCCACACACCCAGCCAGGGGGTCTGCCGATTGTGCCGTCACTGTCTGATGAGTCACCAGCTGAACCGCATCGGGGGCAAAACAAACAGCCAAAATAAAACTGGACAGATCCCACACAGACGAAAGGTCCAAAACGCTCTGGGGAAAAGTGTTTTTCAGGTTTTTTTCTGTGGCTGTGATAGATTACAGGCTTATGGGTATGAAGTAACACATTAATACATGAGTAAAGCATAAATAAATCTATAATGAAATACAGTAGCCAGTCTCGTGACACTCTGACTTGATTTATTTGTTGTGACACACTGAAAGCAGGTCCACATATAGGCATTGGATTTCAAGATGGCTGAAGTTTGGTTTGGTTGTGAATTCTCCTTTAGGCCTCGAGAATCTATTACTATTACTAAGAACTATTAAAACACAAAGTGGAGGGATATGTCCGCCATCAAGACAGGCGAAGCTGCACCCAGGCTGGACACAAGACGCCTCTGAAACCATACGGAGGCTGCAGGTCCACATTCCACCTTCAGGGGGCGCCACCATCGACATTCACCCACCTCCCTGGGTGTTTAAAAACAGGAAGGAGCAGCCAGCGTGAATAGAAGGGCGGATGCGGGGATTGACGTGTGGGCGGCGGTGGGGAGCGGACCGTCCCCCTTTCAGCCGCCGTTCCATTTTGGGACCTTTTATAGGCGCCTCGTCCAGATGATTTAGGGGGGCCAGATGACACTCCTCGGGGGTGTTAGGTGTGTTGGTCAGCGCCTGCGTGTCTGTGTGCTCCTAATTACAGGCGTCCCCCCCCAGGCCGAGAGCAGTGGCGCCGGTTGGAGAACCTCTTTGGGTCGGTCTATTTCTGGAAGCTGTTCTGCGCTTGTCGAACCCAAACCCCGCTGGGGCCGGCCCAGACCCAAGGACCCGCCTTGCGGATGCTCAAACGGGAGCATCTGTGATCCGACCCATGCCAGACCCAGGTCCCAGAGCCCAGGAACGTTCCAGAACACGGGGGAGAGAATCCCCAGACGTCATGGGCCTCCTACTTGGGGAGCCCCGGAAGGGCGCGTCTTGAAATTTAATTAATGAGCAGGGTTTCTATGGTTACCTCGTTAAGTTATAGTCCTGAGCACCAGACTTCCAGGTACCATGCGGAGCCCAAATCTGCTCCGGTCCATTTTGACGTCTCTCCCGGTGGCTGCCGGCGCCAATCCAGCCAGGACTGCTGGGACCATCGGACTTAACCCCAAAGCCCAGTTCTGGGAGTCATGACAAAACCCATCGGCAGGGCACCTTTCCACCCCCGTAAAAGGCACAGGGCTCAGTTATCAGTAAGGCGAGGTGTGTATCCGTGGGATGGGCATGGGGGGTGCTGTGTGTGGGGGGCTGATTGTACACGTATGAATTCATTCCACATGGGTCTCGGCGTGGTACCACGCGGCATGGTGCACTCGTCACTGCCCCCCCGGCCACCATTACTTGTTAGGCTGTGGTCCCTCCTGTCAGCAGCGGCCGAGGGGGGTGATGGGGGGGGCAGGCGGGAGGCTGTGATGAGGCGAGGGGGTGGCCAACACATGAAAGCTTCGCGTGAGGATAGAGCAGAGGTCCATGGGGGGAGCGCGGTGACGCGGCGACACTGTGAGGTGCTGTTTCACCTCTACCCTCTCTGTCCGCCGCTGCTTCCTGTTCCCGCGCTCAAGCGTCACGGGGCCACGAGTGCCGACACCTCGAACCGTGGCCTCGCCACCGCCACGGACATCGCGTCTCACTCATCACCACGCGCCCGCCTGCCTCCTGGCACTGGCCATTTCAAAAGAGAGACCCCCCCCGCGCCCAGTCACCCATCTCTCCTCATACCCACCCCCCTCTGCTGTGGTGTCAGGGGCCCGTCTCTCTCAAACGCCCCCCCTCCCCCCGCCCTCAGTGACTGACACCCCCTTTCTCTTGGCCCTTGTCTCCTCCGTTCACCTTCCATCCCCCCGTCTCCTCCCTGTGTGACAGATTCAGTGAGACCCACGCCCCCCCCCCCCCCCCCCTTTGCAAGTGACTGCAATATGCCTGCGGTCTCATGTAAAAGAGCCCCATTTCCATTTTCCAGAGAAAGATAATTGTTTTAAGCTAATTAGCGAGCAGGACCGCCGCTGCCACCGGACGGCCTAGACTGGGGACCGTCCTTATTAGGGTTCGGGAAGAAATACCTTAGGAGTATGGAGTTGAAACGGATTCCGAGCGTCTCGGCACGGGGGGTTTGATATGGATATTCCCCGGGATCGCCTCCCATAATTATCTGCTTATACGTCTTTTTTTCTTCCTGCTTCTTTAGCCGACACTCCTGTCCGGGCCGCTCGTCACAGGCTGCTGTTTTTCGGGGATCCGCTTCCCTGAGATGCCATGGGCCAGGAAAGGGAGGCGGTCCGATGGCACCGGCAGCTGGCAGAGGGGATGGAGGGCTTCTGTCGGACGTATGACTCGAGGTACTTAACCTTATATATTCAGACCAGACGTAACATCAGCCTGTGTTGCTATGCAGCAGAACAATAGTGATAATATTTATGCTGGTGACAGCTTTATGACTTCATCTGGATACGTCTGCACCTCCAACTGAATTCCCCTGGGGTTCTGTTAGGAATTGTGGGATAGCTGTGCCAGTGCAGGAGGTCCCAATTCCCCCCCGGACCCCCCAGGATCTCTATGTGAGAAAGGGCTAGGATTACGGATAGGGTTCTAGGGTAGGGTGGGTACGTACCCGATCGTAGGGACAGTTTGTGATTGTTTTCGTTTTGCTGGCTGCTGCTCTGCTTCGAAGGTGAAGTTCTTGTGCCCTCATAGCAGAGGGCGCCACACGCACACGCGTGCAGCGGCGCGGCCCGTGATGCCACCGTGTTTGGCCCCTCTAACCTCACTAGCCCCCCTGTGAGCTAATCGGGAACTAAAATCCCATCCAGCAAACGAAACATTTGCTCCGAGCGAAAGTGACAGTAGTGAGGGGATTGGGTGCGGTGGAATGAAAAACTATATGAAGCAGAAGGTGAGCAAAGCTGTGGCGGTGGGGGGGGGGCAGTGGGGGGCTAGGAGGGTGTGGCTGAGGCAGCACAGGTATGTCTGCCAAACCTAATGTAATAAATTGATGTTTTTTCCCCGGGCCCAGGAAGGAGGGGGGGGGGGCTTTTAAGTGGCGAGGGCTGTCATCGTTTGCATTTGAGAGAGGAGAAGGAGTGTGAATGTCACTTTCAAGTTCGGCACAGCGGCTCCTCTAATGAGAGCCAGGGTCTGCCTGCGAGCCGGGCGCAGGGCCGAGGGGGAGCCGCCGTCACCCCCCCCCCCCCCCCCCCCCCCCCCCCCCCCCC